AGAGAGAGAGAGAGAGAGAGAGAGAGAATCTTAAGTAAGCTCCACACCCAGCTTGGGGAGGAGGGTCTCGATCTTGAGATCATGAGATCATGACCCACGCTGAAGTCATGAGTCTGACATTCAACTGACTGAGCCACGTAGGCACCCCTGTTTGTATCTTAAAACAGTACCTTTCACTCTTGGTTAAAGGACTTTAGGCATCTGTCAAGTTTGGGGAGCAACTCTGTATCCTTATCAGAGTGTTCGCCCATTCCTCTCTTTTGTGAGGTAGTATAATTCTCATTACTCCCACCAAGTTACTACTGTTAAGCAATCACTCCTGGGAATGTAGATTCAAGTCAAACATTTACTGACTAAGCACTATCTTCAAGATATTGTGTTGATTACTGAGAAAGAAAGAAGGAAAGGAAAGAGAGAAAGCAAAAACATAACTCAGTTCCTGTTTTTAAGGTGTTTATCATCTCCCGGGAGGGTATCATCAAGGAGCGGGCCACTCCTTGTATGTTTAAACACACTTAGTGGCCTCTCTGTACTTTACACATCCCTGCTTTGCAAAACTGGTCGAATGGCCTTACCAAGGGCAGGATGACCCCCCCCTACAGCTTAGCTCCGACAACTTGTTTGGCTAAGGTTTAAGTTTTACTAAATCCCAATACCTTATGTCAACTGTGTTTATAAAATGAGATACCCAACAACCTTGTAATACAGTGGATAAAACAAATCTTATTTCTTTATTCGACATTTTTGTAATTTAAGCAAGACCTAAACGATCATCAAACATTGTAGAAATTACACGCACACATACACACATACCGACTTTCAAGATAAAAATCTTAATAATTACAAAGTCTCACAGTCCCTTTAGCCTTATTTTCTGTTAAATTTCTGGAATTAAATTAAGATTTAGTTTTCAGGGGCACCCTGGTGGCTCAGTTGGTTGGGCCTCCAACCTCGGCTCAGTTCATGGTCTCCCAGTTTGTGGGTTCGAGCCCTGCGTCAGCTCTGTGCTGACAGCTCAGGGCCTGGAGCCTGCTCCCAATTCTGTGTCTCCCTCTCTCTGGGCCCCTCCCCCGCTTGCACTTTCTCTCTCTCTCTCTCTTTAAAAAATAAATAAACATAAAACATTTTAAAAAATGATTTAGTTTTTAAGTAAGTTAAGCCACGGTTAACAGATTTTTTTTCTGTAATGGGCCAGATAGTAAATAGTTTAGTCAATGTGCACCACAAGGTCATTGTCACACTGTTCAACTCTGCTGTTGTAGCAAAAAGTAGCCACAGACAATATGCAGATGGATGACTGTAGCTGTGTTCAAATAAAACTATATAGATACTGATATCTGAATTTCGTGTATTTATGTACTTCATATTCTTCTTTTTACATTTTTTCAACCATTAAAAAATAGAAAACTCATTTTTAGATTGCAGGTCATACAAAAACAGGTGACAGGCCAGGTGAGCCTGTGGGTCATAGTTTGCCAACTACTAAGTTACACAATAAACTATGTGGGGTTTTTTTTTCTTATATTTCCTTTGAAGATTTTAAGACAGATTTATCTGCATAATTAGAAGTCTCAAATATCTTCCTATTTGTAAAAGGAAATGCTTTTTTTCCTAGCTTTCTGTAACTTCCCTTTTTCTACGTTGTAGGTTTTTGTATTGATTTCATGAATGTAAGAACCTTTTTTTCCTTTAAAAGCATCATTTTTTAAAAATAAGTTCAGGCAGTAAAAACATGGCTAAGATAGCTTACCAAATTAATTTGCACAGTTTTTTCCCAGTTTTTCTCATTATTCACTCCAGCGTTATTGACCAAAATGTCCAATCTTCCAAAGTGGTCTACAACTTTTCTGAAAGTATCTAATTAAAAAAAAGAAGACATTATAAACTTTTTTTTAATATTTATTTATTTTTGAGACAGAGAGAGACAGAGCATGAACGGGGGAGGGGCAGAGAGAGAGGGAGACACAGAATCGGAAGCAGGCTCCAGGCTCTGAGCCATCAGCCCAGAGCCCGACGCGGGGCTCGAACTCCCGGACCGCGAGATCGTGACCTGAGCTGAAGTCAGATGCTCAACCGACTGAGCCACCCAGGTGCCCCCCAAAAAGAAGACATTATATAGATATGTTCTTGTTTTCCATATATACATTTCAGTCCTACCCTGTGCCCTGAAATCAATTTTCATGGATTCACTCTTATAATGAAAATTACACTCTTAGATAGTGACTTAATGCCTTGCTTCTCGAAGTACGGTTTGTGAGCCAGGAACATCAATCAGCATTACCTGGGAACTTGTTATAAATGCACAATCTGTGACCACCACAGACCTACTGAATCAGAATCTTAACTTTAATAAGGTCTGTAGATGACCTGTACGTACACTGAAGTTCTTAATTTAATGAAGTAAATTTTAGACAACTGAGCATCCTAAACTAAGAGCTCTTACAAATCCATCTGGGCAGCCAGTATCAGTCTGTCTTTAGGACATTATTGAAGCTCTCTGGCTTATGACAAGCATCCTTTCTCACTAAGCTGTATTATCTTTATAAAGTGTAATATTAAACGTAAGTCTTCTTGTGTATTCAGATCCATTATGGCCATTTCAGGGAGTTTTAATAGCCCAGGAAGTAAAAGCGTATATACTTCATTCAGTTGATTTGGGTACTGCAACTTGAATTATGTACCATTCATTCTTTTCTCTTTCTCACTATTATTGCTTCTTTGTATTCCTAGTTTGTATAAAAGCTATGTTCAACCAGGGTAAAAGCCCACATAGATGCTAAGGCATGAAAGTCATTCATGGCATTGTCAAACCACATATCCAGTCCTTGCAAACCCTCCTTAGCCAATTCACACTTGGCTTTATCATCAAAGCAGTTTTTGACATACTTCTATAGATTTAAACTGTTTCCTTGGGCCTTTTACCATTGGTTCTAGTTCTATTACTTGAGACTACAGATAACAATTGGGGTTGTTCTTCCACATGACAGAAATGTCTTCTCTGGTCTTGAGGTCAGTATACGAGTTCCTTGAAAAAAGTAAAGTCACAGAAACTTTATTTTGATTGAAATGAAATCTAGAATTACTAACAACCGCGAGACATACTGAGGGGGACACGGGCTCATCAGTTCCCAAGTGGGTAAATCACCATGCAAGCTAATTGCCAAAAATATCACGAAGGCCATTATTTACAGTACTTTACCATACTGGAATAGAAAAGAACAAAATAAAAGCTGTTTACTTTTTCATGGAATTTTTAAACTGCTTAAAATGTCAGATTGATTCTAGAAAAGGTCCTCCAGCAGAAAACATCTAAGGAATATCTATCTATCTATCTATCTATCTATCTATCTATCTATCTATCTATCTTTGCATCTATCCTAAGCATGTTCTACTCTTCAAAATCCCACATTCGGGGCGCCTGGGTGGCTCAGTCCGTTGGGCGGCCAATTTCAGCTCAGGTCATGATCTCGCGGTCTGTGAGTTCAAGCCCCGCGTCGGGCTCTGTGCTGACAGCTCAGAGCCTGGAGCCTGTTTCAGATTCTGTGTCTCCCTCTCTCTGACCCTCCCCCATTCATGCTCTGTCTCTCTCTGTCTCAAAAATAAATAAACGTTAGGAAAAGAAATTCAAAACCCCACATTCATCTTATAGGATTTAGGTTGTTAAGTATGTAAGTCTAACTGCTTCTTTAATTTTTCTTCCCTCATCCTGGTCTCTACTGCATACCTTACACTCTGCCCATATCAGTATATAATACATCATTCTCTTTCTGATCTACCACTGAATTTGGGGCTCACGGGGCTTACGATTAAGCTTTTGCTGACATTTATAAGCTGAGGCACTCTGTAATTTACCTAAATTCTCCACTCTATTTTTTTCATTGGCAAAATGAATTCTGTCTAGATCATCTCTAAGACAGTTTTCATCTCTGTATTTTTATGATTTTAATGAAGTCTCCCTTGGCTGCCACCTAAACAATTTCAAAACTCGTAGACAGAATTAAATCCTGAAATTGGAAGAGTCAAGGCCATGTCTTCCTTAAATGCAAATAAATGCTGATGTCCAGACAATGTGTGGATTTCTCATGATCAACATGCTTTCTCCTGGTCACTCCTGTATCTGAATTTCTTCCTCCACAATCCTTAAGGAATGTGTTTACAGCCAAGATACTAATTTTAAATACTGGGAAGCAAAACAATTAAGGTTAAATGTCACATGTGAAACTACATAAATTCAGGCAGAAATAGCTTTCAGATGATCTATACTGTTTCCTATTTCATCAGCATGGATGTTGGGATCTGGCACGACTTCATCCTTGATCCAAAATATCATGCACAATCAACAAAACTTTACCCTCTTGCAAAATATGTTCCACTAGCACTGTGTTCACAGATCTCTTCTACTCAAGCTTGTAAGTCATATTGTAAGTCTTAGCATTTTCAGATTTAATCACATAATTTCCTATAAAACAATTTCCTTTAACAGTAGGGGAAAACCCGCTTCTAATGTACCACTCCATCTTTACTCTCCTACAGAATAGCCCAACACTTTCAAAGAAATTCACATATCCAGTGTTCTTTAAGAACAGGAGTACTAGCATGACTTTTATGGAAAACTTCTGGCCCTTTCATTAAAGATGTGCCCCAAATTTACTCAGTCTTCCAATAAAACTTTGTGAAATATGTATATTTTATTTTTCTGGGTTTTTTTTTCCAGAAAAAAAATGTATATTTTCCATGCAGACCTACCAAACCTCCATATGACCAATTCTGTTTAGTCTCCGTGCCAATACTGTCCTTGATCTCTCACAAGTAGATGGGTCTATTTTAAGGGAGTAGACGGAAACAGGAAAGCATTGAGGAAAGTCTGATAGAAACTTTTCTTCTGTGATTCTAACACTGCAGTAGAGCTTTTATTATTTTTAAAGTACCATTTCATAGGGGAAAACCCAGAGAGAACATTTGGTTGATTGCATCTAGCACGTCTGCGATGATGATCCTCGATCTTGCATTCTAGTATGTTTAAAAGGAAACATTGCCACATTTGGTTGTCATTGAACTCGGCATCTTCCAGCATTCTGGAAGAAGTTGTTTGCCACAGTCCCTTAGCCTACTTCAGCTTTCCAAGTTCCATCTGCAATTTCAATCATTTAATAATCCCTGTAGCAGCACGGTCTTTGAATACACAAAGGAATTTTGATTACATTACGTGCTGCCAAAATTAAAAGAATAAAATAAAAGACTTCTCAAACAGTCCTGGTTTTCCCCCTCTTAGTTTTCATGGCTATGGGGATGTCGGCAGGAAACATAACAGTCCAAGCTATCTTTCGGAGCTTATTAAATAGCTGCTCTCCAGGAGGTAGCCTTGGAGCTTATTAAATAGCTGCTCTCCAGGAGGTAGCCTTGCATATGCCTGCACCCAAGCTGGCGCTCCGGCCCGGGCTGCCTTCAGGTTGTTGCTTGTTCAAGGCATGTTCCGTGCTGATGGGACTGATTCCCCTCTCTTACCTCTCAATTGTTCCTGGTCAGCCACATCGCACTGGATGAACAGAGTCTTCTGCGGTTCAAACTGCTCATCCAGGGCAGCTTTACACTTTACACCTGCTTCAAGGTTCCAGTCGACCAGCGCTACCTATAAAGAGCAGAGGAATCGAGGTTCTGCGCAGCTTGTGAAACAAACAGCTGGACGAACAGTAAATACACACCGGGACGCTGCCCCTTCTTGGACCTCAAACTCTGCAATGAAAATTCGGGGTCTCTCCCCACCGCCTTCGAGGTCTGCTCCAGACCGTCGGCCTCAGCAGCTTTTGAAAGTGGCAAAGGTGGGCAACCTGGGGCGCAGCAACCCCCACCCCCCACCTCCCGCCCCGAGCTCGCCGGGAGTCCTCTGACCGGTGGGCGAGTCTCCGGGTGGGAAGACACGTTTCCCGGGGGAGGGGGGCGGGCGCCAACGCTTACCTTGGCGCCCTTGTGCAGGAGCGCCTCCGCAAAGGCCCTGCCGATGCCCTGCGCCGCGCCGGTCACCAGCGCCACTTTGCCGTTCACATGCATGACGCGGCCGCTGCTCCGGGCGGTGGGCGAGCTCGGCGTCTCCGCGCCGCCGCAGCTTTTATGGCCCCCTGCGCGCGCGCGTGCAGCCCGGCGGGGCGCTCTCCTGCGAGTGGGCGGGGATGAAACTGTCAAGCCCGCGCCGGGGAGCCCACGGCTGTGTCACCTGGCGCTGAGCGCTCCGGGGCGCCTGGCTTCAGGATCTTTGCCTTCCTGACTCGCTGCCCGGGTCAGAGCCTCCCCTCAGCCTGTGGCTGAGTGGCTGGCAGGGCGCTGACAGGGAAAACAGAGAAGTTGTTTCTAAAAAAGATTACCTTCATTCAGTGCGCCGAAGACCCCCGCCCCGGGATAAAAGGAGAGCGGAGGAGGGAGGGGCTTGGGAGCTTGGTGTCCCCCTCCAACCCTCAGGGCCTCCTCTCTCTGCTACCCCCCCACTCCCCCGAATCAGAAGCAAAAACAAGCAAATGAAGCGACATTTTAGGGGTGTTGCTGTTTGTCTCAATCCAAGTTTATGTCTGAATTCCCATCTCATGGCGATTGGGGTGCGGATGGGGGTGGGGTGCAGAGGTAACTAGCACCATTGTTTTCTTTCTTTCTTTCTTTCTTTCTTTCTTTC